ATAATAATAATAATAATAATAATAATAATAATAATAATAATAATAATAATAATAATAATAATAATAATAATAAATGATGACAATAATTAGTAATTATAATAATAAATGATGACAATAATTAGTAATTATAATAATAAATGATGACAATAATTAATAATTATAATAAATAATTATAATAAATAAAATTCAAGAAGAAATGAATTATAATTATACACACATTAATCAATTCTTCAATACTTGATAATATATCACAGTATCTTGCTACATTTGAATCCATTACACATTCCTCAATTAATCCATCTTCTTTTTCTAATGGATCATGTGGTATTGGTTTAGCATGTAAAACAAATGGTGTCATAAGCATTCCCTAAGTTTTTATAAAATTTATTAATAAAATAGATTTATATTTAAAAAACATATTACCTTTATAGAATTATTATTATTATTATTACCTTTATGAACTCAATAAAAGGATCTCTCTTATGTGCTCTTAAAGCATAGTTGATCTGATAGAGAGAAATAAGTTGATTGGTTATTCTTTTTATTATTTTTTTAATTATTATTTTATTTATTAGTATATTTAACATTTTTTATTATTTATTATTATTTTATTCCTTTTGCTCGGATATAAAATAATTTTTAATAATATTTATATAATTACACGTAGATTTGAGAGAATGTGTATGTGTATTATGTATATTGGTAATAAAAAAAAAACTTACAGTATACATTGAAGTCATTTTGTCGAGGATTAAAATAATACAAAAATTATATATTAAATATGTGTATATATATATATATATGAAATAAATAATAAATATATGAAAATAAATAAAAAATAAAAATGAAAATAATGAAAGAGGAAGAGTTTAAATATCCGTTTTCCAGTTTTTCCAATTTCTATAACACGTGTCATGATGATGCATATTCTACATTTAATAATAAGGAGTATGAGTAATAATTTACAGAAAAGGAAAAAAAGTATAGAGAATATAAAAAGTAATATAAACTGTGTTTATCTCCATTGTTATTATTTTAGGTTATTCAGAAATTAGGCAAGTGACCTCTACGTGACTTATATAGTCATAGGTCATTACAAAAACAATAAAAACAAATTGAATAGATAAAAAACGTTAGCAATAAATCACTTTATTTACCTTTTCAGATCTTTTATTATATTTGATTATATTTGATTAAATTGATTGTTAGATCAAAGTAAAATGCAAACAATAAATTCTTTCTCTCTCTGATGAAAATTTGATTTTTCATATTATTCAATTTAAATTTATTAAAAAAATAAAATTTTATACCGCTACTGCATTGACGCATTATACATACATATAAAGTCACATGATTTATATACTTCGGTATTATATTGTAATACGAATGTACAAATATTCTCGGATGGTGATTTTTTTTCTTTTGAAAGGGATTGTTATAAGCCCACGAAGTTCTACCAAAAAATAGCTAAACTGTTCACCGAGTTTCACTCTTTGACGCCAAAGTTATACGCATTTATACACTTTTATACACATTTTATACGCATTTAAACATATAATATTTAATATAACATTTATACACGTGAATTTAAAATTACTTAGTGTGTTACAAATATTACTTGAAATCTCATCTTAAAAATTTTTTGGCATTTTTGGGTATGGCACCACCCATCACTTCATTCACTTTTGACCTTTTTTTTTTAGTTTGTTTTTCTTCTTTTTTTTCCTTTTTTTTTATTGCTATTCCTATATTTCTGGTTCTTTCTCGTTCTTTCTTTCTTAATTCCCCTTATTTTTTTTTATTATTTTATTATATCAGTTACCACTAGATTAAATATGTTAAATATGTTAAATAATAACAATAATAATAAGACTAGTTGTGGTTTTGAAGGACCCGAAAAATTACTTGAAATTTGGTTTGGACCTTCGCCGGACTATTTACGTTCGAATAATATCAATAGTAATAATAATAATAATAATTTCAATGATTCTGGTTTACGTTTGATTAAAAAAGATATTTGGATAGATATGTTAAATATTGTTAAATGTAAAATACTTAGCACTATAGAAAATGATAGTATGGATGCTTATTTGTTGAGGTAAATTTATTTATACTTTTATTTATTTACGTAAATTTTCGAAAAAATTTTAAAATCATAAAATTTTACGAAATTTTTTTATTTCATTTATTTGTTATCTTATATTGATTTTGATTTTTTATTTAATTTTATTTTAATTTTATCCCTTTCGTCCTTCCAAAATTCTATAAAAATATTTAAAATAAAAAAAAAATATAATTTTTTATAATAGTGAATCATCAATGTTTGTATATCCTCACAAACTTATTCTAAAAACTTGTGGTACTACAACCCTTCTTGCCGCTATACCCCGTTTATTAGAAATTGTTTCACAATATTGTAATTGTCGTAAAATTTGGAGAGTTTTTTATTCTCGTAAAAGTTTCATGTTTCCAGAAAGACAATTACATCCTCATAAGGATTGGAAAGATGAAGTCGCTTATTTGGATCAACATTTTGGTAAGAAAAAAAATTTATAATTTATTTATTTATTTTTTTATTTTCATTTTTGATTTTATAAAAAAAATATATATATATAGATATACATATATATATTTTTTTTCTTCAATTATTCATTTCTGAATTCTGGGAGAATGTTATGTATATAATATATACATTATATTATATATATATACATATATATATACGCATATACATCTATCTATTATTATTATATATATATATTGTTATATATATATATATATATTATGTTAATCATAGATAACGGAGCTGCGTACACAGTGGGAAAAGTTAATGACGACCATTGGTGTTTATATTTAACTTCACCACCCCCAGATTATTTTTCATCGGAAATTGGATATTATCATCACAACAATCACGATGATGATGATGATGATGATGATGATGAGAGTCACAATAATCGCAATAATCACAAATATCACGATGATGATCAAACCATAGAAATTTTAATGACCGAATTAAGTCCAGCGACAATTAGAAAATTCTATCGTAAACCTGTGGATGAAGATTCAGGAGGTAAAGGAGGTACAAGAATTGATAGAGAAACTGGTTTAATCAACTTATATCCTTCTGCATTACTTGATTCATATCTATTTGAACCTTGTGGATATTCTTCAAATGGATTACTTAAAGATAATTATTTTAATATTCACGTCACACCAGAGGTAGATTGTTCTTATGCTTCATTTGAAACAAATATCTTTGAAAATCATGAAAAAATTCCGAATCTCATTAATCAAGTGATTAACATTTTTGAACCGAGAAAATTTACTGTAACGGTTTTCAATACGAATACCCCAAATACGGATAAAAAACTTCTGATATCATCTATAAGTAATTTTTGGGGTTACGTTCGAAAAGATAAAATACTTTATGAATTTGATGGTTACGATTTGATTTTTGGACATTTTGAAAGAGAAAAAAATGTAAAAATATAATAATTAAATAATAATTTGGGTGACATTATAATTTGATATATATACATATATATAATGAATGAATGTACATTTATATATTTAAATATATTATATATTATGTTATAAATTATAAACTATATAAATAAATATATAACTGAATAAGCTATTTAAACTATTACAAATAACAAAAAGTCTTTTTCACACCAGTGGTATTGAACACCATAACCTATTCCTTAAACTGTAGATCAGGAAAATTTGCCTGCTAATTTAAAATTTGTACAATAAAAATATTCAAGTTCGCTAAATTTTAGTAAAACTAACTAATTATAATTACTTATGAATTTATTTTGTATGACATTATATTCAAATCTGATCAAAATTTTAACGCAGGCAAATTTGCCTGCTAATTTTGTACAATGTTTAGATTTTCCAATACAACTAACATTATTTGTACACAAAATACAATGGTTAACTTGTAAGACATGTAAGACAGGTAATTTTGTACAACAAAATACCTTAAATTCGAATATGGCTAACTGTAGAGCAAGCAAATTTGCCTGTTAAATCTTATTACTTAAAATGTAATAAATTTTGGTATCTAGGAGGTGAAGGTAAAGAGTGGGGCTAAACCTATTTTGAAATTCCTAAACCTTTTGGAATTTTATCTTGATCCTAAACCTTTTGTCCAAACCTCTTAAACTATCCTAAACCTCTAAACTATCCTAAATCTCCTAAACTGTTCTAAACCTTCTAAATTATTCTAAACCTCCTAAATTGTCTTAAACTTCTTAAATTATTTTAAATTTTTTTAAATTGTTTTAAATCTTTTAAACTATTTTAAACTTTTTAAGTTGTTCTAAATTATTTTAAATTAAAATAATATATATATAATTGTATTATACTTGTATGCAAAATTATTTTGAAGTCCCGAAATTGCAATTTCGAAAAAAAAAGTCAAAATAGTTTTTCATAAAAGACAAAATTTTTTTATTTAAAACCCAAAATTTTTTGACCACCCAGATTTATACTTTGATTGAATATACACATAACTGGATACTTTTTTTACTTCCATATATAAAATAGATTCTACATAAATCTCAAAAAGTTGAAATATCTCAAAAATCCAAAATCAATTTTGAAAACATGTATAATCCAATTATTTGAGAATCGAAAAAATCCAATATGCAAATATATTCATATAAATTTGTAAATTTATCTGAATTTTTTTAAATCAAAAAATATTTGAATATATTTGTTTTCAAAAATTTCCTGATGGGTAAATATATCCAGATATATTTGAGAATTGAAAAAATTTAAATATATGTGAATATATTTATATAAATTTGTGAATTTATTCAGATTTTTTCTAAATCAAAAAAATATCTAGATATATTTGTTCCAGATATTTGAGAATCAAAAAAATCTAAATATATGTGAATATATTTGTATAAATTTGTGAATTTATCTGAATTTTTTCAAATCAAAAACTGATGATTGTATTATACTTGCATACAAAATTATTTTAAAATTCCAAAATTACAATTTCAAGAAAAAAAATTAAAATAATTTTTCATTGAAGACAAAATTATTTTACTTAAAACTTGAAATTTTTTGACCATTCAGATTTATTCTTTGATTGAATATATATATAACTGGATACTTTTTTTACTTCTATATATAAAATAGATTCTACATAAATCTCAAAAAGTTGAAATACCTTAAAAATCCAAAATCAATTTTGAGAACATATATAGATTGTATAATTCAAAGTTTTAAAACTTTAAAATAAACCATTAATCTTTAATTTTTCATTTATCTGTCATGTAACTTAGTCAGAATTCACCTTTTTTATTCTTTGAATTCATCTATCTTTTAATTCCCTACTAAGTTCTAGTAAAACTATTCCATTTTGTTTCTTATTTCTTTTAGATTAAAATTTACTATTATTTCTTTTCTCTTTATCTATCATTCTCTCTCCTTTAATTACCTCACTTTGTTTCTTCTTCAATTTATTCAGATTTCTTTGTTTTTGTTACTCTATAATATAGAATATCAATTACTTTAGTATTATTTATCTTTCTATACTTCCAAAACCTCCTGATAACTATCAGGTTAAATTCAAGTACTTTGTTGTATTTACTTCCTCACTCTCCCAACATGTAGTATCGACAGATATATGCAAATATATTTGAAAATGTATCTGGATAAATTTAAATAATACAGATACAATATATGTGAATATATTTATATATTTATTTGAATAAATTTGAATATTTAATATGGATAAATATATGAATAGTCAAATATATTCAGATATATTTGTCCTTAAAAATTTTCTGATATAGTAATATTATTAATAATTAAATAAAGGAGGAGAAAAAAAAACAGAAGTCAAATACAAAAGATATACTGTACTGAAAAAGAATTTTGATTTTGCTGATTTGTAATATATGATACAATAGAATAGTTAATTTTTTAATTTTTAATTAATCTATAATATAGGAATTACTATTTGATATAGTGATTCTTTTATATTTGACTAGTGAAAGGAAAGTGATAATAAATAAAAGAAGGATTATATAGATGAAATTAGTAATGAATAAGAGTGAAAATATAAAATGAGGTAAAGAAGAAGAAGACAAAGAAAAATAAAAACAATATTTATTTTTTTGTATTTGATCTATAAAGTTAAATAGAAAATTTATTAATTTTGTTTTATATAGTTTTAATAATATCATATTTTAAAAACAAGAACAAATAAAAGATTTTTTTTATATTGTTATATTTGTATATAACTTTTTATAATATTATTTTATTATAGGAATTTTTTTCAAATTTTAATTTGACTTGGTAATACCTTTATATTTTTTATAAAAGATTTTTGAATATTATAAATATGAATTTTCTAATTTGAATAAACAAAGTTTTCTTTTTAAATTATATATTTTATCAAAATTATCAAATTAAATTAAATATGATTAAAAATTGAAAAAATTAAAATTGAGTCAAATAAAATTTTAATTATTAAATCAGATGTAATTAAAATTGAAAAAATTGAAATTAAGTCAAAAACTTTTACTTTTGATATGTATATTCTAGATCATCTTGAATAATTCAAAATCTTTTGTTAATTATTGAGATATGGTTCAGTACAAAAAAATTTGTACTTCAAAAAAAATTTTTTTTCTGTATATAAAAATTTTAAATTTTAATAAATATATAATTTTTTTATATAATATAAAATATGTTTTAATTTGTCTTTTTATATAAGTTTTGTTATTTTTTTATAAAGTTTGATTAAACAAAACTTTTTAAATTTTTTTAAAAAAAAAATTCTTTTGAAAAAAATAAATTTCAACATTTCTATTTTGTATATATGATTTTGTAAGTTTATTTTATGCAAGTGTATGTATAGCTATATATATGATAAATATACATTTTAAATTTTAGTAAAATTTAATTAGCAGTTGAGAAGAAATCAAGTTTCAAAGTTTAACAATTTGATTTTTTTTATTATATGGGATATATGTAAGATACATATAGTAAATTTTTGTTAATTATATATATAAAAAGTAGTTATTAATAAAATTTTTTTAATTTACTTATAAATAATTAAAAAATTATATTATAATGTATTTGATAACTTAATAAATTTTATAATCAAGATAAAAAATAAAATTTTAATTTTAAAAAAATCTATTAATAATTAAGTGAAGTACAAATCTTTTTAAATCTTTTTGCACCAGACCATATCTAGACTATAATGTAATTTAATAAAACTTACTTTTTTTAAACAGTTAAATCATCTAGTATTTGTCATTTCAATCTTAAAAAAGTTTAAATATTTTTTTTTTGAAAATTGACTTATTTGCAATTTCCCAACAATTTTTTTTTTCAGAATATTAAGAATATTATAATAAAGTACTTACATTAATATAAAAGTTGGATTATACATTTCATTTTACATTTTATTACATTCCATCATTTTTTTTTATAAAAAATTAAAGCCATTAACAAACTAATTTGATGGAAAGATAAAACATTTTATAGTTATGAAAATAAAACAATTAACAAGACTTGTAGAATTCTCTGCTCTATTTTTTTTACAAAACTTATCAATAAAATTTGGTTTGTTTTTCTTCATTCAACCTGTATATTTTATGAAATGTTCTATAACTTTTTAATGAAATTTGATATTAGTCACTTAAAATTTTTTTTATTTTAACTAAAGCATTGAAAATAAATGTAAAAAAAAAGTTGTTTATTATGTATAAAAAAAATATAAGAAAAAATGTCAAAAAAAAGGAATTGAACAATAACGAAGCTGGTGAGGCTAATGCTAGGTACATAATAAGAATAGAGACCAAGTAAAAGATACATTCAGTCAAAAAACTTATATCAAGCAATACTCGGGATTTTAAGAATATCATTATACTATATCATATATATATATATATATATACACATTTTAATTATTTTATTTTTCTTTCATCTTTTGATGATCTAATTTTATATGTAATGATTTAATGAGTTCTAAGCTTTGAGCACACTAACAATAAAAAATATGAAAACTCCCGAATCAACAAAAACCTATTTTCACTTTAATCATCTCTCCGTGAAAAATTAGTGTTGGAATACTTACATTCGCTGTCTCGTACTACCCCTGAACTTCTAATGAATCCTTGCATTAATGGAATCCTTAGACCCGCTTTCAATGTGAGCTCTTATTTACTGTATATTAGTGAAAACGTTGCTCGGGTGTCAAACAAAAATTGAAAGTACAGAAATATGCGGGTTTGAAAATAGATATGCATATATATATATATTATGATGAATTTTTTCTCCCGAAATGTCCTTTACAAAAAAGGGTAAAAAAATAAAAATAAAAAAGGCTTTACAGAAAAAAAAAAGAGAATAAACAAATTTGACAAATGTCAAAAAAAAATAATTATAAATTCTACTATAGTACTACGAATATATCGCTTTTTTTTTTTTTTTTTAATATATAACTTACAATACATATAATACTTATATGCTTATATGAGTCAAACTAGCTATCTAGATACTAAAAAATTCAACCTAGAACATAGCAGATTTCCTCCTATCGGCGGCCGATTTGCTTCGTCTTTCAGCGGCAGCTGCAAATAATTTATTAACAGCCTTACGACGAATACGAGTGGCAAAGTTTTTGGCCATATCGGGACCTTTAGGTTGGCGAATTGGAAGAACTGCATCGGGGTGCACTTTCATTGGTCCCCCAAACACGCTATTTTAACAATTCAAATTCAAATTTATTAATTAACTGTTTTAACCTTTCAAATCTTAACATTGTTAAAAATATTGTTTAAATTTACCTTCTACGTCTCCCTTCCTTCATGGTAGATGAAACTGTACTTGAGCGTGCTTGATGTGAGGTTCCGGTAGGAGTTTGAGGGTAATAATCCTGTTGTGGATAATCGTAGTAATAATATATATATTGACCTTCCTCAGCCTCATCATCATATTGCATGGAGTATAGATCATAGACTTCAGCACCAGTAAACCCTTCAGGTGGTCCATAACCAGGAGTTGGCGGAGAAGATCCTTGGGAATCAGAATCCTCAGGATGACTTAGAACCACAACTGGTGTACCCGGACCCAATTGGACTTGACGATAGTCTGCTGTAATGTATCTAAGTGGGGCAGGTGTATTGCTGTAGCGCCTAAAGCGGGATTGTTCCGAAGTTTGAATATACGCTGGTTCACCATAAACGAAAGCATATGGCATTTGAGAAATAGTGGCAGATTGAGGAGTTCTCATAGGCTGCCTAGCATCTTTTGGAAATCCTGACTTTGATGGAAATGTAGCAGTTTTAGGTGGATTCGGGAGGTTTAAGGCTCTATTCACTTTTGGTGGAAAAGTGGCTGTTTGTGGAAGTCTCCCCAAATTTGAAACTTGAGAGGAAGATTTTGATAAATTAAGTGGTTTTGGAACGGGTCTCGAATTGGCAGATTTTTGTTGAGTTTGCTTGGGAGCAGCTGAAACAACGTTATTATTATTGTTGAAATTACTATTACTACCACAATTATTATTATTAATGTTATTCGGTGGACTCTTAGATATATTGTAATTCTGTGGAGTAAACACGTTCTGTACGTTCTGTGGAGGTGGAGACCTCGATAAATTAATATGTTGCTGCGCATAAGTAGCACTCTTCGGTGGCATTGTATATAATTGTTGTTGGTTTTGTTTGGGAAACTGAGCGGTTTTAGGGGTTCGAAGGGGCTGTACTCCTGATGTATTCGATGTATTGACACCCGTTCTTGAAGCTGTACTCATATTTTGGGCCCGTTCCACGTTAATCGATTTTAAATTAACGGGTCTAGATTTGTTGTTATTATTATCCCTACGTTTACTTTGGTCACTACCTGAACTGCTATTATTCCTCCAGGATTGTCTAGTAGGGTCTTGATTGGACGGTTGATGTTGAACTTCTACACCGCCGGCGTCCATATACATGATTTGTTTTATTGTTTATTAATGTACAAGAGATTTATATATTTTTTTTAAAAGCTCTTTAAATTAAGTTTAAAAAGTATTTCGTTTGCACGAAGAACCTTTTGCTTTAATTATTTGTAAGTTTTTAATTACAGAAATACCGTTCGAAAAGTAAAAAATTACAGTGAACAACGGAATAAAAAAAAGCGAGAAAATAAAATAAAAGTCCAAGAGTAAAATTGTAATAATTGTAATGAACAAAGATGTTTTGAATGGGAAACGAATGACTGGGTACCTATAATGATGCAGGACCAGCCAGTGGCCCACTTGTACCAAGAAATGATGCAGTGAGGGAAGGAGAGTTTCTTGGACAAGAAGCAAATATACTTTTTTTACAAAACTGTTCTATTTTGACATTTTTGGGGGGGTCAAGGATGATAAAATAATTCCCTCTCAATTGTCACCAATTCCGGTTTATTCCAGTTTCTCAACTTATAGTTTACTATAACAAGCCATTTTTAGTTATCCGCGCCCACTTTATAATTCTGGTCAACTGGTCATTTGATCCACAGCCCATATTACAACCAAAAATTTTTTTGTCACCCAATCATATTGGTTAAAAAGAACAAAAAGAACTTAATTTTAGTTTTACAAATGTGAGCGGGAAGAAATTCAGTGTACAAAAACTCCACGCACTACCCACGCTTTTTACACAACATTCAAACATCTAAAATAAGGTTCAAGAAACCAATCAGAATGACTAACACCAAACCTTGACCTTGACTTGTGGGTCGGGTAAGTCGTCAATTTTGACTCGACCATTGAAAATTTTAAAATGTTTATTTTGTGATAATTCGCGCGATAAATAATTAATTACAAAATTGAACGGAATAGATTAATGAAATTTTTTGTAATATGTCATTTATTGTAGTTAAAGTGAGTCCTTGTGTTTAATTACAATAAATAAAGTTATACATGACACATGTTGAAATTGTTTTATTATAAGATTTGTTAAAAATGAATGTTTCAGATTGTATTGATGTATTGTTTGTTAATTTTGGATTATTTAACTAATAAAGTAATTCTTTGTATATAATTTTATAATCCAATTCAAATTCAAAAAAAAAGTTGTAAAAATAGGATTTGCTTATTATTATTATTATTATTATTGATTATTATTATTATTTATTATTATTATTTATTATTATTATTATTATTATTATTATTATTATTATTATTATTATTATTATTATATTAATTAAAATTAAAAAAATATAATTTGAAATTTTTTTTTGTGAGTAAAAAAAAAAAGTATTAAAAAGGTAAAGTAGACTTTTCAATGTAACACATCAAAGATAGTATTATTAAATATGTGACATTTAACAATTTATAAAATTTTTTTTTTGAAACTGTTAGCTTCATTTTGTTGCAGCACGCCCCATATATAAACAAATATCGCGCCATAATTTTATTAGACATCCATTAAAGATCTTGATGTCTTGGTGCTTCATATTGAGTATATTGAGTGTAGCTATTTCTCCTTAAGTGTTCAGCTTCACTTATTAATTACTATTCCAAGCATCAAGATTTTGATATATTGTTTGAAATATTTAATCGTTAACGATAATCTCACGTTATAAAAGCCACTGATAAGTTGCAATGGCACAAACTTATGGCCAACAACAATCTCAAACTCCAGAACATACTTTACCAGGAGTAATTCATTTTCTTCAATCAGAATGGAGACGATTTGAACGAGACAGGAATGAGTGGGAAATTGAACGCGCTGAAATGAAGGTGAGTTATAGCATTATTTTATATTTTAATTATTGTAATAATATGATTTGATTACCCAAAAAGAAGTTTGTTATATTTACTATAACGATTTTATATTAAAATATAAAAGGCTCGTATTGCATTATTAGAAGGGGAACGTCGCGGAATCGAAAACATGAAAATAGATTTAATGAGACGAGTAAAAATGTTAGAATTCGTTTTAAGGCAAGAGAGGTATGTTATATAATAATTTAAAAGAAATTAATAATTGTTTTCCACAATTGTTTTATGAATGTAATACAAAAAAAAATAGAAATATAATTAAATAATAATAATAATAATAATAATAATAATAATAATAATAATAATAATAATAATAATAATAATAATAATAATAATAATATATAATAATAATAATAATAAATAATAATCAATAATAATAATAATTAATAAATAATAATAATCAATAATAGGAGTAAATATTTGGCCGGTAAACTTCCAACACAATCACAATCATTCACAAAAGAGTCAACTTCCATATCAACTGAAGAAGGACGTAAGTTGCGAATTTGCAAATTTTCGTAAGTTTTCTTACTTGGCTCTTTTGTAACCTTGTTATTCGCATTCAAAAATTAAATAAACCATCTCTTTATTATTATTATTAATTAAATATAAATGCCAGCTGAATCAAATGATATAGATTCTTTGAAATCTTCAATAACTTCAGGACGACCTATCTTGCATCACAAAAATTTATCATCAACTCGTGATCCAAAATATCGTACAAAAAGTCGCGAAATACTTAAAACGTATGAATAAAAATTTCAATTGACCTACCTTTTCATTTATAATTTATGATTATTATTTTAATATGTTTAAATGATTTTAGTTGCTTGCAAGAAATAGATTATCTTGCGAATGTTGTGACTAATAATACACCTATCACCAATCGACTTCCGAACCACCCAACCGGTTTGGATGGGAATAATAATAATAATAATAATAATAATAATAATAATAATAATAATAATAATAATAATAATAGTAGTAATAATAATAATAATAATAATAATATAACACGGAAGTCAAATAATCATAGGAATAGTGCAATATTTGTTGGTGTAAATTCTAATCCTAATTCATATAATGAAATTTCATTGAAGAAACCTGGAAATGTTTCAATAAAACCATCTAGACCTGCTCCTTCAACTCCAACAACTCCATCAATAGCATCAATTAATTCTTCGAGTCAATTGCCGTTAGAAAATCCTAAAGATGATATAGATGTCGTTCCTTTTGAACACGAAGATGGCTCTTATTTCCCTAGATATGGAGAAGAATCGATGAAGAAAGATGTGAACTTTGCTAATAATTCAAATTATGAAAATCATTCTATTGAAAACATTTCAGTAGGTAATGGAATAGACGAAATGATGCTCAATCTTAATTCCGAAAATAATAACGATCATGAAAGAGGTATCAATTATTCTTCCACTAATAATAAATCAAAACAAATTGGAGAATGGAAGTTAAACCAAGTAAAAAATAAAAGTAAATTAGCCTATTCAAAAAGTGCATCCGATTTAAAGGAAGAAGAAGAACAATTGGTATGTTGAACATTACTCAATAATGGGAAAATCATTCCACAACAAAAACTTATTTTACTATTAATTTCATTTTATTAGACCAAAGATGTTCAGAAAAAATTCAATCTATCAGAAGATAAAGTGACGAAACTGATGAAGAATGCAAAAAAACGAAAGAGTCAGGAAATTTTATGTTTGTATCTTTCATTTGAATTTATTATTATTTTTTTTTAAAAACAAATCATTTCTGGTGACCTTTTTTTTTTAATTTCACAATAGCAATCACATCTGATCCACTACTAGATGAACTTAGTTTGTCCGTAGAAGACGAAAGTCCACAGAAATCCGAGGTATTATTTCACTTTAGATACTATAATTAAATTAATTAAGTTAAAATGTTAAAATTTTAAAATTATGTTACTTTATTTACATTGCAATCCAGGCCGATAGAATATATGAAAATGGAACAGATCGGAAAGTATGGCGACAACGGTTTACTTTAAGAAGGTAGATCATTATTATATATTACCTTGGATAAATTTCATATAAATTTGACGAAATATATATAATGACTTTTATGATATAAATTATGACGATATATATATATATATATATATATATATAACTTATATAACTTTTACGATATAAATATATATAATAGCCATCTCGATGCTGTACGATCTCTTTCATGGCATCGGTCAGAGCTTCTACTTGCTTCAGGATCAGAAGATGGTACCGTCAAGCTTTGGGATTTGAAGGGGTCTTCTTCAAACAAGTACTTAAATTTCAATAATATTTTTTTAGAAACAAGTTTTTTCCGGAATTCTAAAATTTGTTATCATTTATTTTTTATTTAATAGACTTACTGTGGTTCCTGATATTGAACCATTAATGACATATCGAGGCCATTCTGCTGCTGTTAATTCTGTCGTTCTTGGGACGGAACAGCACCGATGTTATTCAGCCAGTATGGACTCTACAGTTAGGGTGTGGAATTTACCGTCATCTAAACGAGAAACTTATGGACCAGTCGGTGAATATTTTTACGGTTTGAATAAATATATATTTCTAGGAAATTTAATCCAATATATTTAATTCATGTTATTTTTTTTTTTAGATCCATCTTTAAATTTGACCACTTACATCGGCCATACAGACGCTATATGGGATTTAAGATTGTTTCCTATACATTTTCAGAGTACCCAATTATTGGCGTCAGCATCAGCGGATGGAACGGTCAAAATTTGGGACACCGAAGCAGAAGGATCACCTTTAAAAAGTACTTTATATTATTACGGAAATAATAGTAGAGAGATAATTAATGGTAGATATTTATATAGATATTACTTATTTCTATATATACATGAATTCGATATATTCATTCATTCATTCATTCAATTTTTTTTAGGCCGTCCACCTGCACCTATTCCTACATCCGTTGATTTTGTTCATAGTGATTTGAAGAAGATTGCTGTTTCTTTCCAAAATTCTATTATAAAGCTTTTCGATGTTGAAACAGGACAAGATGTTTTAACATTTGAAAGCAATGAAACATATGATAATTCACCCGCAACGCAAATTAATTATATAACCATTCATCCTACAATGTCACTGTTATTTTCAGCACACGAGGACAAATATATTCGATTCTTTGATGTTAATAGCGGTATTGAATTTTATATATGAATCTTTGATTTTTTATTCGTTTAATTATTTGTGTTTTGACTTTTATTAATTTTTTTTTTATCTGTTAAATAAATTTTGACATTTACAGGTAAATGTAGCTTTTCAATGCTTGCTCATTTGGATTCGGTTACCTCACTTGATGTTGATCCTTCAGGAATGATATTGATTTCAGGAGGTCTATATTTTGAAAAATTATTATACCTTTGTATTTGAACTACTTCATATTTCAAAAATGTTATTAAAATGTTGTATTTAATTTTTTTTATTTATTTATTCAGGTCATGATAATTCTATTCGCTTGTGGGATATTGTTTCAACACGGCAATGTATTCAAGAATTTGTATCTCACCGACGTAAATCCGATGAGGGAGTTCTATCTGTTAAATATCATCCATCTTTACCTTGGATATCAAGTGGAGGAGCGGATTCCATTATAAAGATACATTGTTGATGATTAGATTATTTTCGAAATCAATTCATTTTTTTTTTTATTGATTTTATTGATTTTATGATTGGGGTTACCAATTTTCAGGTTAAATTTGAAATTACTGGTATCGCTTTGCATTTATATCATTATTTATATCAAATTTCTCTTCACAAAATTTTTTTTTTTTTACCTTTTTTTAATAATGGACTCTTGTATTTAAAAGCAATATTTTTTTTTTTGATGCAATTGTAATAAGCCATAAATTTCATCGCATACATACTAATATATTTTATTGTAAGCATTGATTCAGAAAGGATAAATGTCCTAGTAATATACATCTTTGAATTTTGATCTTTTTTCAGAAAATATTTATGTTTTGAAATGTAATATTATAAATTTATTAATAAAGCAAATTTTTATTTAAATATTTATTATTTGGTAAATATTATGATGAATATATCAAAATCAACTTGTGTTTTCTATCCATAAAACGTTAGAGCGACTACTAAACTTTTTTTTTTTTAATTGTATGTCATTTATAATATATACGTTTAATATATGGATTTATTCTATAATAAATTTTAAAATAGTGCGATCCGGACGTATCCCACCATAATAAAAGATTTAATCCGTGGAACTTTCTTTTTCCTACGATACCTTTTCAGAAAATATCATCAGTAAATTTTATTTCTGGAATTTCTTTTCTAACTTCAACTTTAACCATCTTTATTTTTCCTTAAAATCAAAAATTGTGTACAAACTTTTTTATGATATTTATTTTATATAAAAGTTGTGTTTAGTATTACATGTTTTACACAAAATAATCATAAAACTTAATGAAAATATTTATTCCTAATTTACGTAAATTCTCATTTTGCGAAATAAAATAATCTTTGATTGATTATCTAAATCAACATTATTACATTATTATACATGCTTTTTTTTTTATTCATAATGCCTGCAGAAATAAGATTAATCATCTAGTTGAAGAAGGGCATTCGCGTATGAGAGACGTGAAGGCCTTTGTTCGGCACGTTAATGCAACGTTTATTTATGCCATGAATCACGTGATATCAAATTCACTATCGTTTTTTTCTCGACGCGTTTCCATTTTGATAGATTCTAATATTGTGCCCGCGACTTATCAGGAATCACGTAAGATCAATTCCATTATTTCATGGAATATTTATTTCGCTATAAAAACACAGTTGGCTTATTCGAGCAGAAAAAACTGAGCTTTTTCACTTGTATTCTGCGGATGTTTTCATATTTAATATGAAAATCACAACCCCTGCGCAAGTGTCTGCTAGGTATTAAGTTGAAGGTCGGGAAAAGACTGAGCTCATTCATCTGGATAGCAGGGACGTTATTACCAATCGGGAGTCCACCTGCAAATGACTGCGCTCGACCAGATGAATACGCTTCAACACTAGCTGTGTTTGGACTTTTACTTTTATATCACAAACTAACATATATTATAACTTCCATATTATTTTAATATATAAACCCAAAAATAATTCCAACCACTGTCAAAAATCAAATCTGAAATCACGCTTATACGGAAAGTACTTTTATGATTCCTCTATCATCTTTATAATGAACATTTGACAGGAAAAAATAACTTTGCAATATCTATTTTTCAGTTATCTAGATTTCCGATCAAATTTATTTGCAAAAATGAAGCTATTAGTATATAAAAAAGAAAAGTTGTATCTTGCAATCTCCATAGATCTATAATAAAGTTATCAGGTGCACCATCGCGAGGAACATCGTTAAAAAGCAATATGTTAGGTACAACAATTTTTGATATTCTGGAATATTGGCACTATCACAACTAACCCCACCAAATTCGACACCAGTAATCATATTGGCTGGAACATGTACAGTATTTAGAAGATTTGTTTGTGAGAAATTGTGAAGAGATGCTGTTCTGAAAGATTTTGCAATTTAAAGGTATGGTTTGATTTAAATTGTTATAATTGACCTTATTGTTAAACTGGATTGTGATGTCTCACTAATCAAGCAGAGCTTTCAAGACAAATGTTATTTGTTACTAATGTTTTGCAGGCTCCAATGACTTTACGTGTACCTGTTTTCTCTGAAATAAATTCTGACAACACTTCTGAATAAATAATCTCGCAAAATGAGGATGCTACAGCATCTGATATATGATAATACATCAAAATCCAATTTAAATCCGTCTATCTGCATGGAACCCGAATTATCAGAAAATAAAGAGATTTTTGAATTCTTGAACAAAAAAAAAAAAGATTAGTAACAAAATAAGAAAGAGAAAAAGAAAAGAAAAACTTCAGAACAAGAGTTACTCAACTCCTGAGAATACTACTCCTAATATTTCTCATAAACAAAACAAAATCTCAGATTTCTACCTCATAAAGTAAGAATGTTTCCATATCCAAAGCAGAGCAATTACCACTTAATCACAATGAAAATCTGAATATACAGATACAAAACTTTCTTTCAAAATAAATGACAATTTCTTTCAATACAACCAGAAAGTAGAACAAGGTTTAATATGCGAGTTATTTGAATTTATTAGAGACATTTATTGAGTTATACATATTAAATACATTATTGGATATGTAGAAGTTATCACAAAACATGCTATCCGAAATTGATTTATTAAAAAAAATACGTCACTAAACTCGAGGCCGAGAATTAGAAAATACAAAATTAAGACATGATATTGAGGAAATTAGAAAACAAATTCAAGTCATTGCTAACTTACAGAATATAAAATTTCATTTTTTCTTTTTTTAAAATTTTTTTTCACAATCGTAAATTTTAAGAAAAATGTATTTTAAATAATTCAGATACTCCTCTTTTTGAATGGATTAGAGTTCGATACCTTTTTTTCTTTCAAAAATGTCAGATTGCATTAGAGGTACAAGGAGCTTAACATTGGTTTCATTATACTAGCTAGTATAAAGATTTAAAAACTTGAGACTATTTTTAATTTTAATTTTAATTGGCAAAAAATATGTATGTGTCATTTATAATATTATACAACTATTGTAAATAAATGTTTAACATATGGATTTTATTCTATATTAAAATATAATAAAATTTAAAATAGCACATTTTGCCTGATATCTTAGGTCTATTGTAAAAATAATATTCAGAACAATATAACAAATAAGAAAAATAAAAAATATATACGTTATTATAAATGAATTTTATTTGTCCGAAAAATAAATAAAATTCATACACTTATCAAAGACAATAATTGCTTGCAGAATTGAATTTGAAAATGTAGCAATAAGATTACAACTTTAGAAATAACATCATATATAAAATAGAAAATAATACGTCATGAAATTTCTTAGTTGTAATAAATAGTACTGAAATATAAAAAGCCTCAAAACGAAGTTAAACCAATCACATTTACTGATTTAACTACTTCAAAATAAATTATCGAATTTTGATTAATGCAAGATCAAGACCACTTTTCTTATCATTTTCTCCTGACCATCTTTTGATTTCAATTGAATTTTCCTCTGGCAAACCTTTAGTAAGTTCTTTCCAATATCTAAAGGGAATCTCAGCCTTGTAAAATGTAATATAAGTAGAGATAAAACGAGCGGCAAATAAAACTTGATCAGTGATCTTACCATCTTCACGTAATCTTTAGCAGGCAGTTTAGCAGCAGTTTGCATTTCATCATAAATATGGTTGCACGAAAAAACATGCGAATTCAGATTTATTAACGTAAAAATGGTATTGACAGATCTCCTTCACAAAACTCAATTCCCTTTCTTTTTTTACTTCTTCGATTCCTGATAGCAAGAAGCTTGTGTCTTGCTAAATCAAATGCCGAGGACCATTTAGAGAATAATTCGTTCCGCGAATGATGTGATGTGAACGATGTTATTTACAGAAAAAAATTCAATTGCCGTCTAATTAATTTTGTATGGGTAAAAATAAAAATGATTTACATTTGATTATTTGATTATGTAATCATTGAATGCTACATGTGATGTAATATAAAAAAAAAAAAAGTGATTTATCTTTAATAATTCAACAAAGATTTGTTTCAATAGATCTTTTAACAAAATGCCAAAACACGAATTTCTAACACCGAAGGCAATTGCTAACCGGATAAAAGTATAAAAAAATTCTTTTTAAATGTGTCTGTTATTTTATTTTATTTTATTTTATTTTAAAAAAAGATTCAGATCATAAGGTTTTCATCTTTTAAATTAGTCAAAAGGACTCCAAAAGTTGAAATGGTATTGTCAAATGTGTCAAAAACAATGTAGAGATGAAAATGGATATCAGGTAGATTTAACTTTCAATTAAATAAAAATTTCTATGATATATATGCTTACAATTTATGTTGATTTCAGTGTCACATTCGTTCCGAATCACATCTTCGCCAAATGGATCTTCTAAAAGAGAATCCATCAATGTATATGCAAGGATATTCGAAGCAATTTCATGAAGATTTTGTCAAATTGCTTTCTCGAAGGTAATTTTTTATTTTTTCACATTAAAAAACTAGATTTAATATTACCAATGATTTTATTTTTTTTAACCATTCAATTTCTTATTTATATTAGATGGGGTACCAAAAGAGTTCATGCAAATCTTGTCTATCAAGAATATATTTCTGATAGGAATCATACACATATGAATGGTACAATATGGGAGACATTGACAGATTACGTAAAATATCTTGGAAAAGAAGGCATTTGTCATGCTGATGAAACACCCAAAGGATGGTTTGTCAGTTGGATTGATAATAGTCCAAAAGCATTGGCTAGACAGGTAATCTAATTAAATTTATTTAATAATTTTTAATATTTTATAATATTTATTACTATTTTGTTAATAATATTAATAATATTTAAAATTATATTATTTCAAATTAAGGAAGCTATTTTGAAAAAGGAACGAGCGGAAAGGGATGAACAAGAAAGAACCAGAAAGTTAATAGAAGAACAAATCGAAAGAGCTAAAAAGGAAGCCGAGGATTTGGGTTTAGAAGAGACGGTATTACATAACAATATGCTAGTTTTGTTTTATATTTTGTATTCTGTATTTAATATAGTTGAAATAATTTGATTTTATTATTATTATTATTATTATTATTTTTTTTTTTTTTTAAGAAATTCACTGAACTCAAAAGAGATAACGAAGACGATAAGATAAAACTTAATATATCTTCTACTACGTCTACTTCAACTTCTACAAGTAAAATCGATGTTTCTGTGGCTCCTCCTTCTACTACAATATCCAATACCAATACCAATGGATCTACTACAACGCATACTAGCATATCTTTCAACAAACCTACGTCACAAAAAATATCTCTTAGTGCCTTAGTGAAAAAATCCAATTCGTTATTAGCACAGAAAAAAGATAAAGAAAAGGAAAAAGTAAAGGATCAACCAAAGAAAGTAAGCGCAATGGAACAAATTATATTGGATGAAATGGAAAAAAAGAAAAGATTAGAAAATCTGAACGGAAATAAGACAGAATTTAAAAGAAAGGAAGAACAAAGGAATAGAGAACGAGATCATAAAAATCGAGATGATAAAGATAATAATCGAAGAGATTATAGAGAAAGAGATAGAAATGATAGAGAAAGAGGAGAAAGAGATAGAAATGATAGAGAGAAGGAAAGAAATTATCGGGAAAAAGATAGGGAAAAAGATAGGGAAAAGGATAGGGAATACAGGGAAAGAAATAGAGATAGAATATATGAACGTGAATCAAAAAGATTGCGTAGAGATTAATGGATAAAATACTTTCTCTGACATTTTACCTATTGAGAGCAATATCGTTATCACTCTAAATCTTTAATGCAAGATTATTGGTTTGTGTTATATTTTTTTTTTGTTTTATTTTATTTTTTCTAATGATATAATAAATAAACTTCCAGTAAATATAGGTTTAATTCAACGATTGTCCACACGCAATAGAGGTTCAAATATTCTTTTTACAGTTAATTATTCTTTTTATTGTCAAATCATTTTAGATGACCTTAATAAATAATATATTTGTTTATACTACTTGTTCATTATTTCATTATAATAAATTTCATATACAAAATAATTTTTGATTAACAATGAACAATAAGCGTCGGGATCAACTTAAGAAAGAATATGCGTTTATCCTTAGTATTATGAAGACCCATATGTAGTCATTCCAGGGCATCTTCTTGAGAATTGGGTCTAATTGAATAAATTAAACTTTTAATTTACTAATCAAATATTATTTTGATTTAAAAAGGGTTTTAGCTGAAAAAATAATATCTTTAAAAATTGAAACTGCTTTCGATTAAAAAAAAAATGAAATTTTAATTTTGTAAATATAAAAATTGCTTGATTTATTATCGGATTTGATTGGTAAATTCGATTAAAAAAATAGAAAAAAAAACCGGATTTATACAACTGCCAATCACAGTATCGTTTCATGTGATGTGAATTAGCACAAAATGATATAAATACTCGAATTTTTTTTTTAAAATGCACTGTTTGAAAATGTCTTATACCCGAGGATCAGCAAATAAAATTTATGAAAAAATTCGACAATTTTTTACAGTGGTAAGTAGATTAATTGTTAGATATTTGTAACTCTGATAAAGTGAAGTTAAATGCGTAAATAAAAATTTCTAATTCTAGAACCCAGATACAAATACAGGTATCCCTCTTACAGGTATATACCGTACTCCATCTCCAGGGTAATTAAAAATATTTATAATATCTATTTTTTTGATAATAATAAAAAAAAAGTCTCATTTTTTAACGTTTTTAATTAATATTATTATTTTTGATTTATATTGATATATAGATCACAACCAAAAATATATAAGAAACCAATAACTAAACATTCAGACTTGGCCGATAATTATTATTTTAGTCGTGACAGTCGACGTAATTATCCACGTTTAGCTGTATATACTCAAAAAGATGTTGCTGGATTAATTGCTGCCTCAAACTTGAAAAGGTGAATAATTAAATACAGTAAAAATTATTTGTATAAATCATTAATTAATTAATTATTTATTTATTTTATTTTTTCAGTATAACAACAGGTGAAGAAGGAGAGACTAAAGTAACTATTCCAGAAAATATGACAATAACTGAAGCGATTGCATCTACACAAATATTATTTGACTCAAACAAGTTACCCCCAGTTCCGACCAATCGTCATACTTATAATTGGAAAAAATCAACTGATGCAAAAGAACCTGATCCAGGTTAAATAATTTTTAAAGTTATTTTAAGTTTTCTTTTTTTTTTTTTTGAACAATTATTAATATTTTCATTTTAATCTGTTCTGTAGATGTTTATTGGCCCATTAAAATGGTATCTTGATAAAATTAGATTTTATTATTTTAGATTTTATTATAATAGATTTTATTATAATTAGATGATGTGAATATTTTAATTACTATTTATAATATATATTGCCATAATTGTGTTAATAAAACTAAAGTTAATTTTTTTTTTATGCTTTATCATTCTTTTGTAAATTAGTCCATTGTGAAGGTGTGTAATTTTTCTATAATAAATTATACAATAAATTATTATTATAACATTATGGAGAAAAATTCTTAAATACAAAAAAAAAAAAAAAAAGTGTATCACAACCTGTGAGAATGCGTGAAGCTGTGCAATTTCTGATTTGCAAGCTTCGTTTACCAAACGATGTTTTTGTAAAATACTTTTACCTTCAAATATTGAGGAAACAATCACAACGTCGAAACTATTTCCACAGCCACCTTTTGAAAAAAAAAAGTTCATTATTATTTTTTTTAAAAAAAAATACTTTATTGATTTTATTTAAAATATTGTCAAAGATTTTTAGTCAGAAACTACCAGAAGTATCAACAACTTCTACATGTTCCGCTTCAAGTTTTTCTCGTAAAGTTTTTTCTATAGATTCTTTTGTGACTGTTGCCATTTTTGGTTCATTTTTGCTCCAAAGTTCAAGTTATACAGCGTTCGATAAGATCAGCTTTCCAAATATGTTGGAAGTTTCACGAGATAACGAGATATGGAATATTTACAGGTAATTAGATCAGATCTCATCCCCACGCGTAAACCGACCTAAGATATAAAGGTTTCAAAAATCGCAAAATCAAAAAAAAAAAAAACTCTTGATTAATAACGTAAAGTCTTAATAATCTCAAAAATCACAAAAAAAAAACACTTGAAAAATGTTTGTCATTAAAAGAGGTACGTGAATAAAAAAAAACCAACTTTCAAAATTTATAAATTAATCGTGACGTGAAATAATAACTTTATGTGCAATTTATTTCTATAAAGATGGTAGAAGAGAAAGCGTCGCTTTCGATAAGGTTTTTATTGACTTTAAATAAATAACAATATTTTAAATATTTTGAAAAAAAAAATGTTTATTATAACTTTCTATATTTAATTAGATTACAGCACGTATTAATAAACTATGTTACAGTCTTAACTTAAACTATATTGATCCCGTTGCCGTAGCTCAAAAAGTTAGTAAAGGAAATCAATTTTTAATTTTTAATTTTTTTTTTTTGTTGACAGAAAGTCATATATTCATTGTTACTCTTTATTATTTTAATTATTCAAGGTGATTTCTGGGGTTTATCATGGGGTTAATACTGTCGAATTGGATAACTTGGCCGCTGAAACTGCAGCGTACATGACTACCAAACACCCCGATTACGCTATACTGGCCGCTCGTATTGCCGTTTCTAATCTTCACAAAGAAACCAAAAAGGTCTTTTCTTTGGTTATAGAAGATCTATATAATTATGTAAATCCGAAAACAGGAAAACACGCGCCAATGATTTCTGAAGAAACTTACAAGATTGTCATGAAACATTCAGGGAAACTCAATTCCGCTATAATTTATGACAGGGATTATAAGTATAATTTTTTTGGCTTTAAAACTCTTGAAAGATCTTACCTTCTACGAATGAACGGTAAAGCTGCCGAACGTCCACAACACATGTTAATGCGTGTGGCCGTTGGTATTCATGGTGAAGATATTGATGCGGCTATCGAAACCTATAACTTTATGTCCGAAAAATATTTCACTCATGCTTCACCAACTCTCTTTAACGCCGGAACCCCACGACCTCAACTTTCGAGCTGTTTTCTTTTAACAATGAAAGATGATTCCATAGAAGGGATTTACGACACACTAAAAACTTGTGCTGTTATCTCAAAATCTGCTGGTGGAATTGGTTTAAATATTCATAATATTAGAGCTTCTGGTTCCTACATAGCGGGAACAAACGGTTATTCAAATGGGATCATTCCAATGCTTCGCGTATATAATAATACCGCAAGATATGTTGATCAAGGTGGCAATAAACGTCCCGGCGCTTTTGCTATTTATTTGGAAACTTGGCATCCTGATATTTTTGAATTTTTGGAATTAAAGAAAAATACTGGTAAAGAAGAAGCTCGCGCTCGAGATTTATTCTATGCGCTTTGGGTATCTGATCTTTTTATGCAAAGAGTCGAAGCCGATCAAGATTGGAGTTTGTTTGATCCGGCTGAGGCGCCAGGGCTTTTGGACGTTTGGGGGGAAAAGTTTGAAGTAAGAATTTTTTTTATCAAATAATGGAAAATTAATAATTAAAATTCTTTTCCAAAGCTAACCAACCCTTTTTCCTCTTTTATAGAAATTATACGAGTTATATGAGCGACAAGGACTTGCTCGTCGAACTATCAAAGCCCAAAAGTTATGGGCAGCAATATTGGAATCTCAGATAGAGACAGGAACGCCCTACATGCTCTATAAGGATGCTTGTAACCGTAAATCTAACCAGCAAAACCTAGGAACTATTAAATGCAGTAATTTGTGTACTGAGATTATGGAATACTCTAGTCCTGATGAAGTTGCTGTCTGTACTTTGGCTAGCATCGCTTTACCTATGTTTGTAGAGAACAAAGACGTTTTTGATTTTAATCGTTTGCATAAGGTAATTTATTGATTCTGCTTTTAGGGTTATTCTATAATTTTATAATGTTTATAATATTGACTTATTTTGTACAGGTTACGAAAGTAATAACTCGAAATCTTAATAAAATTATTGATATTAATTATTATTCTGTTGAAGAGGCGCGAAGATCTAACTTTCGCCATCGTCCAATTGGTATCGGCGTGCAGGGTATTTTCTCTCTACCAATAATTCGTTACTTTCATTATTCTACTTTGTCATAAATGCAATCGTTAATTTTTTTTTTTTTTACACTGATAAACAAAATAGGTCTGGCGGATTGCTTTCTGTCTATGAGACTTCCCTTTGATTCTCCTCAAGCCAAAGAATTAAATAGAAAAATATTTGAAACAATATATCATGGAGCTTTAGAAACTTCGTGGGAACTTGCAAAGGAACATGGACCATATGAAACATATGAAGGTTCACCTGTATCGAAAGGAATTTTACAATATGATATGTGGAACGTTAAACCGACGGATTTATGGGATTGGGATTTATTGAAACAAAAAATTAAGGAACACGGTGTACGAAATTCTTTACTTGTAGCACCAATGCCCACCGCTTCAACTTCACAAATTTTAGGATTTAATGAATGCTTTGAACCTTACACGAGTAATATTTACACACGACGTGTTTTAGCTGGCGAATTTCAAATTGTAAATCCATGGTTATTAAAAGATTTGGTAGATTTAGGATTGTGGAGTGATCAAATGAAAAACAGAATAATTGCCGACAACGGGAGTATTCAAAATGGTAAATAAATATATATATCTAGTTTATTATGATAAAGAATTTTTAATTAATTAATTAATTAATTTTTATTATGATGATCTTTTTTATTTTAAAAGTTTCTGGTATTCCGGATGATATCAAAGGATTGTACAAAACAACTTGGGAATTATCACAGAAAGTGATAATTGATATGGCAGCAGATCGAGGAGCTTTCATTGATCAATCTCAAAGTCTCAATATACATATAGCGGAACCAACCTTTGCTAAATTGACTAGCATGCATTTGTGAGTACACAAATTTAAAATTAAATCAAAAATTTTGATATTCACAGATATTACATATATTACAAATATATTTATATATACACATTTTATATACGTTTATAGTTATGGATGGAAAAAAGGTCTGAAGACTGGAATGTATTACCTTCGAACAAAACCAGCTGCGAACGCTATCAAAGTTAGTAATGTTTTTATCTTTGTTCAATCATTTTTATAACTTATATCTCGAATTTTTTTTTTTTCTCATTTTCCTCATTTAATTCTTCAATTTAAAGTTTACGGTCGATCAACTTTCTCTTAAGTTAGGAGAAGCAGCCGAAAAACCAGAGATTATTAAAGCCATTACATGTTCAATTGATAATAAGGAAGATTGTTTAATGTGTGGCAGCTAAATATTAACATAAACATAAACCAATACATATAAACGTTTTACATTTTATTAATTAAATGCATATTAATATATTAAAAAAGGACTTGTAGAGAATTATTGTATTATTTTTTTTTTTAGATTTAATGTATAATCATTTTCCTTTTTTTTTCTCCTTTTTTGTATCGTTGTGATGTCACCAACCAAGTTCATGAACTGGTTTAAAAAATAAAATAATAATAATAATAAATGTGAATGAATAGAAAAAAAATGCTCTCGTTTTTCACAGTTTACAAGATTTTATCACTAATATATATATATATTTGATTGGATACCTTTATTTGTAGCTTTATTTGTAACTTTGTTTATATAATATTTGTGTCTTTATTTATATCTTTATTTGGTATCTTTGGATCAAAAAATAAACGACATTTTAGAAACATAAAATTCTCATGACATTTGAGGAGATTGTGACATAATGACCGAAATTTCTAATTGTTCTTAATACTCTTATGTAACACACCACGCGAAAATTTACTTTATTTTGAATGAATCTTTTTAAAAAGCATTAACCAAGTGTAACATAAATTCATTACTTTGTACGTTAGTGTATTTGACATTTGACGCATATGTACATTTAAATAAAATCACATAAAAATGGTAGTATTTCTAATACATTTTCACTCTTCTCTATTAAATTTTATTAAAAAATGGAAACAGCAAACAATAACCTTAGTAGTTCCATGTCAATAAACGAAAAGACAATTGAAGTACAAGGACAAAATGAACAAAATGAACAAAATAAACAAGAAGAACAAAATGAACAATTAATACGAGGAATCCCGCAAGTTCAAGAATCTTCTTTCGATTTCCAGCGAGTCACTGAATTTGATCCATTTTCGAATTCCGAAAAACGTATGACTGAATGTTGTTGTTTTTTTATTTAATAATTTTATGCCCAAATACCTAAGATATTAGTAGCTGATAAGTCTTCAACTGATATTCAAAAAAATTGGGCCTAAAGAAGTAAAGAGTGAAATTACAGAAAACATAGAAACTATAGAAATTGCAAAAACTATAGAAACCGCAGAAACCGAAGAAATTAAAGAAATTACAAAACCAAAAAATGAAACTACAGAAACTAAAGAAATTAAAGAAACCTTAGCGGCTTTATCATCAAAAACTGTTAATTCTCAAGAGGAGGAAACATCAAATCCACAAAAATTAGATCCGTTGCCCGATATAATAAATCAAACTGGTAATTATAAAATTCTATTATTTTGAATTTTCTTGAATTTATCAAAGATGATCTCCATAAAAAAATTATTTTTTGATTGAAGAATTTTCAGAATTATCTAAAGAGAAAAATGAAGAATCAAATTCTCGAAGCGTCACCACAGGAGACAATATCGAAAATATAGTAAAACAACAGAATTCATCAGAAAAAGATACACAAGAAGAAGTTCCACAATTTGATTTTGGGAAATTTCTTCAACAAATGTCCCATCCAAGTTCAAAACAAATTGCACAAGGTGTCAAATCGTAAGTCATCTCTACTAAAATAATAATTTTACCTTTTTTTTTTACTTTATTTAGTATTTAAAATTTAATAAATTTATTTAGTCTTGAAAAAACATTTGAATTAAAACCTTGGACAGTAAATGAACAAATAAAACTCATACACAATTTCTTAGATGTATGTTTTTTTAATTTACTATTTATTTGGATTCGTTCACGAATAAAGAATAACATTCATTCTTTATTTTCTAGGGAATAACCATAAAAATGCGCGAATGTGAATTATGGCGGGATATATCTGAGATAGAATTTGAAAATGCGAAAGAAGGCATGGAAAAATTGGTGATGAATCGATTATATAAGTTGTATGTATTATAAAATTATAAAATATAATAATAATAATAATAATAATAATAATAATGAAATTTATTATTCTTTTTTTTTCCTAGAACCTTTACACCTGCCATAAGAGGACCTGTTACAACTGATGATAGGGAAAGAGATGAGATTTTACATCAAAAATTTCAAATATTCAGATGGATAAAGGAAGTTCATCTGGACATACCTAGTGATCATCATCATAAAGAACAAGAAAAATTTCTTGAATTCGCAAAAAAAGGTAAGATTATTTAATACGAGAAATTATTAAAATTATATTACAATTTAATTTGAATTATTCTTACATAAAATATTTATTATTATATAATTATTTTTTTTTAGAATTATTGAAAATCAATAAATTCTATTCACCTCGAGATAAACTTATTTGCATTCTTAATTGTTGTAAAGTTATTTTTGGTGAGTATTCTATTATTATAATAAATTATCTTTTAATTTTTATTAATTTAAATTTGTTTTTTAGGTCTCATAAAACTTATAGATGGTGAACAAGGTGCTGATAAATTTTTACCCATTCTTATTTATGTTGTTTTGAAGGCCAATCCAGAAAATTTGGTTTCAAATGTCCAGTAAGTATTATTTTCATAATTTAGTTTCAAACTTGGTGGACTCTTAACATATTTTCCATATTTTTTTTTTAGATACATTTCTCGATTCAGAAATCCCGATAAATTACAATCTGAAGCATATTATTATCTTTCAAGTTTGGTATGTTTCTAAAAAATTTTTTTTACATCCATAAATTTCATTTCTTTTAATTATTGTTATTATTGTTATATTCTCATTTTCTAATTATTATTAATTATTATTAATTAATTATTTTTAATTATTATTAATAATTATTAATCATTATTTAGATGGGGGCAATTTATTTTATTGAAAATTTGGATGCATCATCGCTTACTATAACACGAGAAGAATTTGATAAGTATGTATTAAAATCATACAAACTAATTTAATTAATTATATCTATCATATTTACAAGGATTATATATTTTCTTTTTTGTAGATACATTGAGAATACTATGAAGGAATTGGAACGTGAGAGACCGAAATTACAAGAAAATAATAGAGAAGTGGTTAATTATGACAATGCTATTCATCCCTCCAGACATCCATTAAATGTAAGAACTCCACTATTAAATACAGCACAAGCTAAAATTTTATTAGAAAAAGGAAGTACATTTGCTCAATGGACATTTCATAAACCGTTATCAGTTGTTGGAAAAATATTAGCCGATTTGAATGAACCTATTATATCTCGTCCAGTTAATTCATCATTAGAAGAAAGTTCAGATTCTTCACGAAGTTCATCACCTAATCGTCAACAAATAAATGGTTCTCAGCGATTATCAACCAGTGAAGAAGAAATTCGGCGTTCTTTGTCAGTTTCTTCTCATTATTCAAATGCGACAAATGATTATTCTGACATACAGGATCAAGTTCGACGTGTATCTGAAGAAGAATTTAAAGCATCCCTAGCTATTCTAAAATCAATGTTCCCTAATATGGATCCTGATATTTGTGAAGATGTATTACGAAATAACGAATGGAATATGCAAAATGCTATAGATCAATTGCTTGAAATATCTGAACCCCTAGATGGCACTTTATACGGAGAGAGAACAACAACAAATGATAATAATATTCATGATAACATTCACGATAATATTCACGATAACATCAATGATAATGAAATATGTGTACCACCATATACTTTATAATTTTCAGATACATTATAATTATTATTATTATTATTATTATTATTATTTATAGAACTTTTCCTGTATTATCTACATCAAAGTTTTCTTTTACGTACATCTTTTTTTCCGATCAAGATTAACAATAGTCTAAGTTTTTTAAATCTTTATACTAGCTAATGTAATGAAACCGATGCTGAGCCCCTTGCGCCTCTGATGCAATCTGACATTTTTGAAAGAAAGAAGGCATCAAACTCTAATTCATTCAAAAAGAGGGATGATACCTAACTGTGAGCTCTTCATTAAGGAGTATCTGAATTATTAAATAAATTTTTCTTGAAATTTACGATTATTTGATTTATTCTGTAAGTTAGCAATGACTTGAATTTGTTTTCTAATTTCCTCAATATCATGTCTTAATTTTGTATTTTTGCGTTTAAGCTCTACATTCTCGGCCTCGAGCTTAGTGACGTGTTTTTTTAATAAATCAATTTCGGATGTTTTTACATATCCAATAATGTATTTAAAATGTATAACCCAATCAATGTCTCTAATAAATTCAAATAACTCGCGTATTAAACCTTGTTCTACTTTCTGGTTGTATTAAAAGAAATGTCATTTATTTTGGAAGAAAGTTTTGTATCTGTAATATTCGGATTTTCATTATCATATTAATTCATTTTTCCAAACTCTGTTCTAACCATTTTTTCTTCGAATAGCATAAAAGCATTCTCTCTTGAAGCCCAAAATCCTCTTTAAACATTGCAACAATTGAACATGCGCACCTTAATGCCCATGTCTCAATAGTGCCTTATGGTATTTGGCAAAAATACATTATGAATACGGAGAAATTCTCCCCAGAAATCACATTAACAGAAACCACACTGATGCATTGGTTTCATGACTAATGTTCAACTCGTATATTTTGAAGGGTCAAGGCCTGTTGAGAAGAAGCCGGAAAAAGAAATCACTGACGTTAAAAAATGCTCACAATTTGAAAAATATATATTCAAAAATTATAAAAGAAGTAATCAAAAACCGTAGGCGTTTTCCAAAGAAGTTGTTTATTTAGATTACTGTAGTTCTTCAACTAGATTAATTTTATTTCTGCAGGCATTATAAATAAAAAGCATGTATAACATGTATAATAGTGTAATAATGTTGATTTAGATAATCCATCAAGATTATTTTATTTCGCAAAATAAAAAATTAGGAATAAAAATATACAACTTTTATATAAAATAAATATTATAATAAAGTTTGTACGCAATTTTTGATTTTATGAAAAAATAAAGATGATTAAAGTCGAATTATTATATTATTTTTCTTTATCAAATAGGATGGCTAAAGTACAATCTAAAACAAACCAAATAATATGTGTGTAAAAGATAATTTATTTCTCGTATCAATGTTTTTAATATGTAATATATTAAATTATTTTTATTTATTTTTACTTATTTTTTTTTTCAGTGATGAAAGAACTCATACCACAACCCGATTAGGATATTATGCCCGAAGTTCAACTATCATCACCTCATCGTGGTAAACGAGCAGATAATCCATATGAACATCTAAAGCAAACTATGGCTAGAATGCGCAGAGGAGAAAAGTAAAGAAAAATATAATAATTCATAATTTTCATAATTTTTATAATATTTACAAAATAATTCAATAATTATTATTGTTGTTTGAATTATTGTCTGTACTATTAAATCTGTTTCATTTATTTCTTCATTTTTATCTTCTGTAAATAAATTTTTTTTTTGTTTTTTAAGTTGTAACTGCCAATTTATAAATTAGATAAAAAAAAAATTACATATAACTTCTTTTGATACCTGTTTAAAATGAAAGATAAGTTGCACACAAGAGAATGAGTCCAAAAATCATTTTTGCATGCATTTTACAAAATTGATGTTGAATTGAATTGAAAGAACCAAATTCGGATTTGAGTTTGATTTTCGTAAGTTATCATCCGATCAAATCTACATAGTATATCTTTAAAAATTATTTTCGGAAAAGTAAAAATAATATGGATATCATTATAAACGAAACACCTGCAAAGTTTTCAGAAAAGACAATAAATAAAGCACGCAAGGTTCTTAAAGGTTATCAGGGTATTCTATATCATAAGTATTAGTAGGGTTAGAAGAACAATATGGGTATGTTTTGAACGCATATTGGAGATGATAATAATGGAATTTTGTAAAAAAAAATTCTCTTAAAGAACTTTTTGATCTTTTAAACCGGAATGTATCCTTGGGTGAAAGTAATACGTGTATACTTATAGGTCCAACTGGTTGTGGAAAAACTGTGGTATTATTAAGTTCGTGTTTTAATCACGTGGTTTCATTGATGGATATTATGATATTTTGAATTTATAGTTACTTAAAAAGGCTTAAATTCATTAGAATAAATTCATGATGATTTCATTTTTGTGTATATAAACGGATTATTTCGTACATCGGATATATTAGTAGGTCAATAAATTTCTCGCCAACTTGGGCAACAAATTAAAGGCTTACCAGAGAGGAGGGATCGATTTATTAAAATCGGAAACTACCGGCAACAATTCTATTTTATTAATTATCTATAATTTTGATATGTTCGCGAAAAATTATAGTCAACCCTTTTTATATAATATATTTAATATTGCTACAAGTAAAATTTGTCCTATTTCAGTAATCGGCATCACACGAATGTGGTATGTAATGATGATATTGTTTGAATATATGTTGAAACGTTTTTTTTTTTTTTTGCATTAAATTAATTTATTAATTTTTCTTCTTATATAAAAAATAATACCGAACGTGCGATCTAGAATTGATTTATAAAGAATTTCCGGATTGATTACGCCTACATAAAATAGTATGAAATAATCTGACACGAATGTTGAACAGTTGAGGCTCGGAGCAGATGCGAAGAACAGAATGTAATCGCACATTGAAATTATTTGAAATAAAGCTTTCTGCGATTTTGTTGATAATAGATCGCAATTAAAATGACCAAAATAACATGATTTTTACTAGACTAGATTCCGTTCGGTTTTGTCGATCTATCATTTGTCTATTATTTTGCTTTTGATTATCTTTAATCTTACTTGTAAAAAGTTTAAAATTTTCTTTTATGGTGCAGAAACCTTAAAGACATCAAGTATTATAGAACTGCTGAAATTATATGCTTTGCGCATGTAAAAAGATTCTAAGTCCCTAGGATATCTAATAAAGATTGATATTCGAAGGGTGTGATAAAAACACTACCCTTGAAAAACCCTAACACCCGCGGTATAGGTTATGGTGTTCAACACCACTGGTGTGACTTAAAGTTTTCGAAATATTAAATATCTTTGTGAATTATCTATATGTAAATATTTCATTTTCCCTTTGACTTAAATATTATAAATACAAATTAATAAAAATTTATACCAACTAAATATTAAATCTAACTGATTCTAATTAATAGAAGAAAAAAAACTTTGAAGAGAAAGTAAATTATGTAAATATAAAATAGAGTATAAATTAGTTACCTTAGAAGAAACTGTTAGTCTTCAAAAAATAGTACTAGATCGAAATTAATATAGAATAAACGATTTAATAAAATATTAAATATTATTTGTACTCTATTTTTAATTTATTACTATAAAAAAATATCTTTCTATTATAAATGTAATATAAATGGTTGTGTAATCTGTCGATCAAAATCTAGACTTTCCGACTTTGCATAATTATTTGTACTACATAAACGAACACATTTAAATTTTCGAAATTTTCGAAATTTTCGAAAAAATTTGGCAACATAATCCAAAAATGGGTCGATATGGTCAAGTGTTAAATATGGTATGATTTGTTTTATTAATAAAAAGATTAATGCGCGAAAATTTTCTATACTAAACCTTGTTTTTTTAATTCCTTCAGGCTACGAACCTTATACTTGTCCTACTAACCATACCGTTAGCTAAAATATTGGATCTTGAAAATGAGGAGAGGAATCTTTTATATGTTCGTATCACTTATGGATCAGTGCAAGCTTTGATAATATTCCTTTGTTTTTATATCGCTGCCAAGATAAAGGAAAAAAATGGTAGTTTGGAAATTTTCTAGATTTTTTTCCTTGATAATTAAAAATGATTAAAATAATTTTTTACTAATATCTTTTTTTTTTTGATTAGACATTACTGAACTGAGTTACGTTGAACCAGCAAAACCCTTCCCGGTCTCGAAAGAACCTCCTAAAATGATTGAGACCACTATTCGAGATTACGATCTTGATAAAAATAAGGAAGTTCTTAATCAAACGTTTACGAGTTTAGCACTTATCATGTTCTTACATTTTTACTTGGGTTTGAATCAACCTTTACTCGCTCAATCGATTTTACCATTAAAGAATATCTATCAACAACAAATTGTTCAAATTCATTTATTGGGTAAAGAAGTAAAAAGACCATTTAAGACTGTTAGTCTTTTTGATTTGACCGACTCTTCTAATCAAACAGATAAAGTTGCTTTCAAAAAAAAGAAGCAGTAAAAGCTTCACGAACTTCAAAAAATACAGGAGAAAAAAAGGAAGATTAAAAAATTTTTCTGTTTAAATAAAAAAAAAAAAAAAATCTTAATTTAATTTATTATAGAGAACTACATTATAGTCATTTCTACTTAATGTTTTTATTTTATTTCTTTTTTTTTAAAAAAAAAAAATAAATAAATAAATTTAATTCATAAATAAATAAAGATTTAATTAATATAAAAAAAATACTATTCCAGATTTATACACATTATTTTTTTCCTTTTTTCTTTTTTACACTCCCCGTATTACTATTTTCTGGAACAAAAACATTACCCCCAGATAACTCAGGGGTTTCCTTTATTTTTTCCTGTGCGGAAAAGAAAAACATCAAATCTCGTATTTGTTCTTCAAAATCTTTTATTTTAGAATCCTTATCTTTCAATTGTGTTTCTAAATAATTTTGCTTTGATAATAGAGATTTGGTTAACTAATTATAAATTGTAAACAGTATAATAAGTTAGATATTAATATGATTAAACATTAATAAAAAAAACATTAAATTAAATATTCTAATAGGTGTGAAATTACCTCTTTTTCTTCATTCAATTCTTTCTCTAATTTTTCTGATCTTTCAGTGAACTTTTCTACTTTCTTCTCAACAGTTTTCTTTTCTTTCAATAAATTAGGGATTTTTTCCTTCTCAAGAAATTCACTCTCTCTTTTATACTTATCTCGATCCTGATTTAATATTGATACATCATCCGCTAATTTTTGATACTGGTTGGTTAAATTTGATAATTTAAGTGTTATTGATTCCAATTTCTCTTCATAATATACTCTTTGCGAATAAAGTTGTGTTGATAAAAGGTAACTATATTCCAATCCAATTGCGTCAAGTTTTTCCTATTTTTTTTTTTTTAAAAAAAAATGAAAAAATTTGTATTAAAAGTTAATAGATATTATTAAATAAATTCGCGAAATAATTCACCTGATCAACTGGGTCAGTGCGTGGTTGTTGTTGTTGAGTAACATCTGGACTCGGTAATTCTACAAGTTTACCATCCGATTTATTTTGTATTAAGCGATGAACATATCTTTTTTGGGATATTAATAATATAATATATATATATTAATTCACAAGATTGAGTAAAACAAACAATAAATAATTTATTACATAACACATTCGCTTACCCATCACCTGCATAATCCCAAACCCTTTGAGTCTCTAATTCTAAAGCATATAAGTGTGATGTTTCTTTGTAATGACAATATGCATGTGCCTCTTGATATCTTCCACAACCAATATTTCCACACACAAGACATATCCATAAATTTTCTGTGGCACCGCATACACCACATTCACTTGATTCTAGATATGAATCTTGAATATTTCGTTTTTGACTATAACGACACACTGGACAACTACTATCTCCCCATTTACTTAAACAATTACAATGAAATGTATGTTGGCATAAAATTGTCAGCAACCCTGTAACAGAAGCATCCATTCTTTCAAGACACACTGGACAAGTTGGAAGTTCATATAAGAATGATGATTGTTGAATTTGATCATTGGTTGCTTTTTGTTGAGAAATATCTTGTGTAGTATGTAAGAAAGGATCATGTAAAAATGGAAATGCGTAAGGTGGAATGGATATAGATTTAAATTCGATGGATTTTATATAAACGACATGACATATCTCGGGCTAAATTTAATAAATTTATTAATTTTAAATAATTTTAAAATTAATTTTTTTTTAAAAAAAAAAATTTCTTACCTCCATAGAACTAAATGGACGACCATTATATTGTTTATAAAAATCATTGGCTGCTCGTGCATGACGAAATTTCATCAATACTATAAACTTATTTGGAGCCGAATCCCTTAAATTCAAAAATAGATATTTATATTTATTTATATGTTGTTATTCACGAAAATAACAAAAAAATAAATAAATAAATAAATAATAATATTAACTTAAATTTCTATCAAACCTGATAAATCTAAAATGACTCACAAATCTTACAACTGAAGCAACAAATCCTAAAAAATCGGAAGCACTTAAATATGACGGTACAGCCAATACCGCCAATATAGTATTATCTTTATTAAAAAATTCATCCTCCATACTTTCATCAGTTTCTTTGCTTTTCACTGTAGATTCATTTTCTTGATTTGGGGAAGGAATTTCTTTTGGATCACGATATAAATGTAAAATTCCATAACTAAAATTCGTTTTACCAGATTTAATTGGAACGAATTCTCCTGTGGGTGAATTAATTAATTTGTCATTACTTGATTTTGTTATCTTTTGATTATTATTATTAGTTAGATTACTTAATGAAGAAGTATTTGAGGATTGCGCTGGAACTTCATTTTGAGCATCCTTAACTGCATCAGCATAAGAACCAATATTTTGTTTTTGTTGATTATCACTCATACTTTCAACTTCACTTTCTTCTTCACAATTATCAAACCACTCAGTTGTAATTTTCCCAAATCTAAAATCGTGTGTTTTATTTAAATTATTATTATTATTATTATTATTATTATTATGATTATGATTATGATTATGAACAATTGACGAAGGATTTCCACTTGAAGTTGTTGTTGTAAGAGATTTACGTCTACCAACTGTTGTCCAATTCAAGGAATTCGAGGATAAATTTGATGTATTATCTTTCGAAACTGGAGTTGGAGGAATTGAGGGTATTTCAGAAGTTAAGTTAATGGTATTCTTTGATAGATCTACCGATTTTGCTTTAGTTTTATGGTGTTCTTTTACTTTTGAATTACTATATAATAAAAATGATTGATTTACACTTTTATCTTGAGGGTGTATAGGTAATGTTTCAAAAATATCTTTTGGAATGTAAAATGGATCAGTAGGAAATACGGATTTCTTTTTATTTTTTATATCAATAGGAAAATCAGGAGATGCTGGAATGTAAAGTTCAAACTTTAAGTGATAAGAATACATGGTTAAAGAATAATAAACCAAGTTACACAACACATTACTATTTTTAATTTTTTTGATCTTCATTAATAAAAATCCAACATTTAAAGGTTCGTAGAGTTGCACAATGTCTTTTTATCCTGGAAAACAACAGGATAATCCTCCTGAAGGTAATAATAAATTTCAATAAATTCAGTAAATAAACAAAAAAAAAATCGTGGGAATAACCTTTTATGCAACTCTTCTTTAGACGATCCAGCTATAATTGAACAGCGACGTCTAGCTGAAAACCTTGGACCCTGTCCAAAAGGTGGTTTACATGAGCTAAGATCTCACTAGTAAGTTTAAAAAAAAATATGTTAATTATAATTGATTGATTGATTGTAATTTCATTTATATACAAAAAATAAAATATAATTATAGTACGCACGGTACTTTATTCTGGGGCCTTTATATTAGGTTTACCAAGATTATTTGGTTATTCAAAGAAAAAAACAGTTTGTAAAAAATGTAATAAAACTTTTAAAGATATTCATTTTCCTGAAGCTGGTAGTATGAATTAAAATAAGACTATCAATAATATTTAATGTATTTAATGTAAAGTTAGCTAGCTATGTATTATTATTATTATTATTTATAAAAAATTCATTTTTTTTTTTAATTTTTAATTATAAATAATTCTAAAACTACTATTAAAATTGAAAATATTTTATTTATTTATTTTATTTATTTTATTTATTAATTGTTTTTTACAATAAAGTGTTGTAAAAGATGAAGATCGCTGTTCCCAGCAATAATTAAAAGTAATGTAAAATATGAACATGCAATAATTATAATTATAATAATTCATGATCCATAAAATAAAGATAGAAATTTTAAAAAATTAAAAAAAAAAATTTAGTCACGTTGAGGTTGTTGTTGTTGTTGATAGTAATAATAATTTTGTTGTTGTTGTTGATTCAATTGTTGTTGTTGTTGCTGTACTTGCTGTTGTTGTTGTTGTTGTTGCTGCTGTTGTTGTTGCTGTTGTTGATGATTATATTGGTCTTGTGTTGTGTACTGTTGACTATAATAAGCATAAGATTGTTGTTGTTGATTAGGATTTTGATCAACCGTTCCAGGTGCTGAAGAAGTTGGTGGATTAACAGCAGTGTTTGCTGTGGGTGTACCATATAAAGCAGTGGATGAATATGCTCCAGGAATTTGAGTAACAGTAGCCGAAGTTACTTGAGTTTGTCCACCAACAGTATTAGGAAATTGAGTAGTAGCAACAGGGGTGGTCCCATAATTACTATACCCATATTGATAACCATAATTTGGAACTGCTGCTACCGGTTGGGAATCAGATTTGACTTCAGTTGATTGACCAAGTTTGTTTGGATCTACCGCTGAGGGAGTTGTTTGATAATAACCAACTATAATAGAATAATTTAATAATAATAATAATTTAATAATAATAATAATTTAATAATAATTTAATAATTAATAATAATTTAAATATAATTAATATAATGAATAATATTATACCTTGTGGTTGATTAGAAGGTTGCCCCACTTGTTGCTGCACGACAGGTTGTCCAGTCGTTTGACCTACAGATTGTCCGGTGGACATTTGACTATATTGGGTGGGTTGACCATAAGTATTGTACTGCGCTTGTGCTGGATATTGACTATATGCTGTGGTCGACGTTTGATTAGAATATTGACTATATTGACCATAACTAGTAGGTTGTGGTTGTTGTTGTTGCTGTTGTTGTTGTTGTTGTTGTTGTTGTTGTTGTTGTTGTTGTTGATTAGTGACTCCATATGATCCAGATGATGGATATCCACTGACGGCAGTAGTTTGTGCGTAATCGTTATTAGTACTTTGACCATATGTAAGTTGTTGAGATTGGGGATAAGCATTCGTGGAATATCCATTATTTTGTTGATATCCTTGATTTCCAGTATTATTAGCAGGAATTGAACTACTTTGTTGATATCCACTAATCTGTTGATAACTACCTTGTTGATATCCACCTTGTTGATAATTCCCTTGTTGATAATTCCCTTGTTGATAACTTCCTTGTTGATAATTTCCACCATGTTGATAGGAACTTTGTTGATATCCGCCTGAAGTGTAATCCCTATTTTTATAAAGATTACTTAAAAGTTTCCATATAAAATAAAATGATTCTATAAAATGATTCCATAAAAAATGACATTTTAAATTATTCAAAAAATACATACCCTCTTCCTTGATCACCGTGACGTGATGATCTTTCGCGCTGTATAAATAATATTTGAATAGAAAAAAAACAAAAAGAAAAACAAAAAGAAAAAAATACATGCATTATCATCAACAAATTTTGCATTATAACGACCCTAGGTCTTTAAATAGCAAAAATATCCAAAAAAAATTATAGCAATCACACTCAACAAGCGAATGACAAACGACAGTACATTTCCAGATGCAGCTTTTTCAAGAATCAATTGTTTCGCGATAGCAATATTTTCAGAAGAACCTACAACAAGCGACATTATCATGAACGTAGAGCGCATCGAACAACTAACATTGAATTTCACGTTTGGAAGCAATAAAGTCATCATATGCATGTAGGCAATGATTTATTCATATCCTTACCGATAATCTGTACATTTCTTTCAACTGGTGGTGCACCGTGTACAGGTTCAATCTGTATTTTAGCACCTGATTGCTGTTGAAGTGCTCTTACTGTTTCTCCACCTATTAAATATATTAAATAAATAAATAATAATAATAAAATCATCATATAATATTCAAATAAATAATATAATATTGATACATACCTTTTCCTATAATTAATCCAACAGAATCGTTCGGTACTTGAATAGTGATACTATCTTGATTGGACTTACCTCCAGAAGGTCCTCCATATGGACCAGAATGTGGACCATAATGACTACCACCACCTCCGCCACCTCCACCACCACCACCACCTCCTCCTCCACCATAACTACCATGACTATCATTACTATACGTACTTGCACCGCTATAACTATTAGAGCGATATTCTTTATGACCCTATTAATTATTAATGTTATTAAAGTTATTAATGTTATTGATGTGATATTATTATATTTAATATATGTATGACCAATTTTTATCTATATACATACTCTGTCAGAGATGGATTCACCCGTATTCACAATTTCATCAATTAATGCTTTCGCTCTTTGAACTGCTGCTTCATCTCCAATCAAAGTTACAGGTCGATCATTAGATTGAGGACTGGCAGCACTATCAGGGGTAACATTTATACGAGCCCCACTACGATCTTGTAAATCTCGAATAGTTTCCCCACCACGTCCAATAACAACACCTACTTTACTACTTGGAATATGAATCGTGATAGTTGATCGGTTAGATCCCGAATCTCGACGGCTAGTGGAATTCCCATTAATAGCATCTTCTACAAGTTGTTGAACCATTCCTCTGGCATTTTTGACATCTTCCATAGTACCTGTAATTGTTACTCTTCTTTCTACAACATCTGGAGGTTGATCTTTGTAAAGTTAATAAAGTAATATGTTGATAAAGTGATAAAGAAAAAAAAACGATAAAGTGATAAAGTGATAAAGTAATAAAAATAATAAAGTAATAAAAATAATAAAGTAATAAAGTAATAAATAAAGTAATAAATAAATTAGTATGTAAAATAATCAATGAACACTAATAGCGTGTGAACTTTCAAATTAATTTACCTTGCGAAAATTGAATTCTAGCACCTGTTTGTTTTTCAATTCTTTTCAAATTTTCACCACCACGACCAATTACCAAACCCACAACCGCATTGGGAACTTTAAATTCTTCATGGGTGGTGGACCGAGGTAAATCACTACCCGGTCCGTAATGTGATCCATGGTGTGATCGTCTCTCTTCACTACCTAGACCATAACGATGTCTATTTCCGTTTTCGACTATTGAAAAAAAAATGTCAAAAAAAAAAATTATAATAAAAAATATTATCATAAAAATATTATAATAAAAAATATTATATATGTATATAATAATAATAATAATAATAATAACCATCGTATGCTGCTCTTTTTGACTCTCTCCCTCCATAATCTTCATAACGATTTCGATCACGTCGATTATAAGAATCTCTTCGATATTCTTCACGATAATCATCGCGACTATCTCGGGAACCATGAGAACTATAACTATCATCATGAGAACGTTTAACACCTTGTTGAGCGGCTAGAAGAAAGATTAAAGATTAAATAATAATAATAATAATAAATATTCAAATTAATGATGATAATACATTTTACATAAATTTCATAGAAGAAAGGTAATTCTTACGATTATTAATATTAATATTATTATTGTTGTTGTTATTATTGTTATTGTTATTGTTATGGTTTTGAGGGACAGTAGTATCAACTGTCGGTTTGACTCCCAATTTTGCTGCAATTTCTTTCACCTTCGCCATCGCCGTGTTAAATTCTACCTGAGACCCCGGATTTGATGATGAAGTAAGTGATGATGGTGGAATAACACTACTATAATCCGAGTTCACCACTGAAGTTTCAACTGATGTATCTGCTGAAGTATCCATTAAATTATCTTCATTTTTCACAATTCCCGGTGCAACTTCATAATCATTTAGAATAGGGGGATTAGATGGATTAGATGGATTAGAGGGTGGTGGTTGTGTTCGTAAAATCTCGTTAGATTCGGATGTTCGTTCAACTTCATTATCTAAAATGATTGACTTATTTTGAGCAATGATTTGTTGCAGTACAGCGATTTGTGATTCTTGAACTGGGATTTGTGGTTCCTGAACTGAGATTTGTGGTTCCTGAACTGAGATTTGTGATTCTTGAATAGGGATTTGTGGTTCTTGAATAGGGATCTGTGGTTCTTGAACAGAGATTTGTGGTTCTTGAACAAGGGTTTGTGATTCCTGAACAGGGATTAGTGATTCTTGAACTGGGGTTTGTGGTTCTTGAACAGGGATTTGTAATTCCTGAACTGGGTTTTGTGATTCTTGAACAGGGATTTGTGATTCTTCAACTGAAATTTGTGGTTCTTCAATTGAAATTTGTGGTTCTTCAATTGAAATTTGTGGCTCTTGAACAGGGATTTGTGGTTCTTGAACAGGGATTTGTGATTCCTGAACTGGGGTTTGTGGTTCCTGAACAGGGATTTGTGATTCCTGAACAACGATTTGTGGTTCCTGAACAACGATTTGTGGTTCTTGAACAGCGATTTGTGGTTCTTGAATAGCGATTTGTGGTTCTTGAACGGTGATTTGTGGTTCTTGAACAGGGATTTGTTCTTTTGCTGTGATAGTAGCGAGTTGAGGCTCCTCTACTATCGGTATGTCGTTTACCACAATCTGAGGCTGATTTGGTTCCATTCGGTTTTGTCACAAAAAATTAAGAAATATTTTTTGATAGACGGGTACGAAAATTGTTAGTGCACTTGACTTTGTAGTACAATAAAATCAAACAAATAATGTGGGTGAATCCTCTCGCAAAAAAATTTTTTTTTTGTTGATAATCAATTTCATGTCTTTTTGATTACTTTAAAATATATTACCTAGTTTGTTTGTCTAGTTAAGAATCAATAAATTCAAAATATAAAACAAAAGTAAAGTAATAAACTATGGATTGCAAAAAACAAAAGTTGGTTAGTTATTTAATAGTTTAAATAGTCTATAATTAATTTATTACTTCATAGATAGTAAAATTACTTAAGCAACCGATAGAAATGAAGTAGCGCATATTACAAAGGATTTTTTAGAAAATGTTAATCTTGGGTTCTGTATAAATAGACTGGGATGCATTAGAATTGGATATGTTATCAGATATATTTTCTTGTTCTTTAGGAACAGGGCTTGTTTGAAAATATTGTTATAATTTGTTTCATAAGAGAGAATAGTATTGGCTAAAAATTGTTTGATTTCTTTGATATCATTATCATTTTGCAATTACTTTTGTTTCAATTTTGTTAAGTTCAGTATTTTCTTTGTCAACTGTTCTAATTCCATGATTCTGATATTGAGCTCAGCATATCTTGACTTTGCATTTTTGTATTTTCTTTTGCAAATTGTTCTAATTTCATACAAAATGTAAATATATTCAAATTTAATTATATAAAAAAATATTGAAGTAAATTTGTCTTTACTTTATTGGTTGTAATAAAAATTGAAAAGAATCAAATTTATCTATTGTATATATACTATCATCTATATTACAGGTTTTTGTTTGTTTAAATTATTTGTACTATATATGTTCTTACGTATTTTGATTTTTTGAAATTTTTGAAATATCTATTTTATATATGGAGATAAAAAAAGTATCCAGTGTACTTTTAATTAAAGAATTTACCTAGGTATAAAGAGTAAGGCTAAATCTATTTTTTGAATTTTTTAAGAGTAGACTGTATCATGTCACACATTATTAATAGATAATTGTCAAATTTAACCTTTGAATTTTTGCACACGGCTATCTTTCCCAATGACCTCAAAGAAGACTTATATTATTATAGCTCACTTTTCAAAACCTTTAGTTTATAACATAAGTAAAAAAACTAGTTTTATTTAGAATTTTTCTTATTAAACTATCAAAAAACTTTTCACATGAGCTTGATTCTCTTGTATGAATTAAATTGTACTAATTAAAACTGTAAAAAAAGTATCTAAAAAGTAAAGATATAAAATTTCATAATATGTTATTATATATTATTTTAAATAAAACTATAATTTTAATTTATATTAGTAATAAAATATATATGGATATTATAATATGTTCTCAATAATCACAATAAAAATATATTTTTAGTGATCATTCTGAGATACCATAATATAATTATGTTATGGTATCTCAGGATGACCACTTAATATAGGTTATGATGTTTCAGAATTGATACATAATTCAATTTTGTTATGTCAGATAAGTGACACGTAACTTAGTTTTGTAGCGTCAAAGATGTGTAGCTTCCTGTGTGATACTCAAATCATGTTTACTATATAAAATGAATGTTGAAAATAAGTGGCCATGACCTATTCCCTAGACAATATGGCTAATACTCAAATCACATTTGTTACATCAAAGATGAGTAGACATGACCTGATAATTAGTTATTGCAGATGATGCATAATTCAATTTTGCTGTATCAAATATGAATAGGTATGACTAGTCATTGCAGATGACACATAATTTAATTTTGTCATGTCAAAAATAAGTAGGTATGACCTATCTCCTAAACAACATGACATGTGGTTTAGTTTTGCTGCATCAAAGATAAGTGAATATAACTTATCCTCTAGACAATATAATACATAGTTCAATTTTGTCATGTCAGTTTTTTTGAACAGAAAAAAAAATATCTTTTTCTAAACAATTTGCTATTTATTAATCATGCTATCAAGTATATTACATATATATTATCTAAACTATATATATTTCCAAAATTGATTTTGAATTTTTGAAATATTTTGACTTTTTGAGATTTATGCAGGATTTATTCTATATATAGAAGTAAAAAAAGTATCCAGTTATTTGTATATTCAATCAAAAAATAAATCTGGGTAATCAAAAAATTTTGAATTTTGAGTAAAATAATTTTATTTTTTATGAAAAACTATTTTAACTTTTTTCTTCAAAATTACAATTTTGGAATTTCAAAATAATTTTGTGTACAAGTATAATCTAAGTACACTATACACTGGCCTGCTAAAAGTATTCGGACAGCTGTTTTTTATTAAATTTTTTTAAAAATTTCAAGGGTCAATTCTGGCACAATAAATAATTTAAATTGCACAAACTTTTTTTTTAAAAGAATTCTCGAATTAAGGGCTATTGCATGATATCTTATTTATTCAAATTGGATGCTTACTCGTTTTAAAATCTTGTCTTAAATAAAAGTTACCAAAAATATTAAATTAAATTATTAACTGAAATCTCTTTCGATTTCAGTAACTATCTATCAGAAGTACCTATTATCTTATAAAAAGTTATAATCCTAAATTAAATCTACAACTTTTATTAGTACCATATTTTATATTTTCTAGTGAAAATTAGAACTTTACTTAGACACGACTAAAAAATGATCGAAATTGTTGTTGATCATTTACTGTTTAAAGAAAATTATCAATCGTTGTTACATATAAAATATTATTTTATACCAATGAAATCTTAAAAATAATACTAAGTAATCTTGAAGAGAATAT